GAAATCAATTAAATCTGTATGTGGGTGTGTGTAAAAAAAATATTCAGATGTAACCCCGTAACTGTAATTTAATTACACATTTTTTCACAGTAACTGTAACTGATTACAATTACATTTATTTTGTAATTAAATTACGTAATTTATTTACACGTAACTAGTTACTACCCAACACTGATTATTGCCCACCAACATTATCCCCAAGCTTGCCAAATCTCCAGTGTTGTGGTCAGGGTTCGGCTGCTCTCGCCTGACTCCTCCCCCGAGTTCTATGTGCTCGTGTCTCGGCTCTGCTCAGGCTTGTCAGTGCGGGCGAGAGCGCTGCTAAACATGGCGACGGACGGGATGATTTTAACCAACCACGACCACCAAATCCGAGTTGGAATATTGACAGGTAAATACGAAATGACATTAGCTCCTTTAAGCCTCGTCGCTCGGGCTGGTCTGTGCGTTCATGCTGTTGCCCGCTGCTGTTTGTCGTGCCGGTGGTGATTCCTATCTGAGCGAGTTCTGCCCATTCGCTCGCGTTCCTCGACTCATTCGCAAAAGCTGTACGTTTATTTATCTATATGTCCTGGTATTCATTTATACATTCTATGCGATAATGTGTCCGGCTCTATAAGATCTGCCTTTGGTCTGTCATGCAGCACAGCTCAGTGTCAAGACAACAGTTTGTGTGATGAATTATTCATAGATTGTAAGCAAGACATCCACATAACATACAGCAGATCGTTGGAAAATCCTCTTATATCTGTGAATGAACTCTCTGATCGCTGCCATATGTCTGTTTAAGGTCATATTAACATGTGTGGTTGTTGAATAGTGCTGCTATGTAGATACGAGTTGGTATTTGGAGTTGGTCACGCAGTGTTTTTTTTCCTCATGGATTTCTGCACAGCAGCATCTCAGCTTCGGGTTTGATTTGAGGCTGTATTTGTACACATGTACGGTGATATATAAATATATACAGCGTCTCGTGCAATAGACACATTCACTCAGGCATGCACATTAAACACGACTTTCAGGGTTACCGATAATGCTTTCACTATGCACGCGATTAAGTGGTATTCTCGTGCATGCGTTTGAATTGTCTTCATTGATTGCCATCCCAGTTTTGGCTAAAAACGGGAATGAAGCAGCCGCCTTCTTGTTAAATATCGCTGCCGTAGCTTCCTCTCGGGAACAGGGGGAATGGGTGATGAATAGCGATGTCCGATTCGTGAACGAATCGTTCTTTTGAGTCAGATCTTTATAATGAATCTGTTCACGATTGGAGGAAGAAACGAATGTCAGTCTGAGTTATTCTCACTCATTAACTCATTGGTTCGAGAACCGTTTTTCGAACATGTCTCACTCCTAAATAAGATGCAGAGTTTCATAAATAGGTTTACAACTTAATTATGTGACAGTTGTATCAACAAGCATGAATGTTCAGTCGCATTAGCAACATTTTGGCAAAACTTGTCATTTGTCAATAGTTTAGCAATGTGTTGGTCATCGCTGCTAATTTGTTTGACAAACTTGAACCTGCTGCAAAATCGGTGTAGGAAAATCTTTCGCAGAATTGACTAATTTAATTGAATTTTGCCCAGGCAAATTCGGCAATAAAAAAATACAACTATATTTTTTATAAATGTATAAAAACATGCAACAACTTTTAAATTGGTTTTGTAAATATAAGTGATTTATGATCTGAATAATAACTACAACAAACTGAAGCAGGACACATGAAATTACAATAATAACCTTTATTAACAAATTTTACTTCGAAAAGCTTAATAAACGGCATTATGTGCCTACAAATGGTTTTATTGGAAGGTTTTAGAGCATGTAATATACCACAACCGGATGTCAGGGATCACGTGATGATGTAAAAGAATCACTGACTGAATCGTTTTTAAATTGGTTCTTTGCTTAAAGGAACCAGTTGATGGAAATGAATCAGACTTGCCGTCACAAGTGATGAAATGCACACACTGGCTGAATGCAAATGTCAGTAACTTTGCAGTGTGTCACATATTCATGACATTCCTCTCGGCGTGTTTCCGCAAGCCTATTCCACGAGCATGAGCCTCCGAGATGCTTGTCGCGAGGGGGAATGGCATAAAACATTGTGGGAATCCCCTTCCCCCCACCACACACATACACACCCCTGTATAAGCATGACTGCTGACCGAGGGTGCTGTCCCCTGTTTTTGGTGCTGAAACACCAACAGCCTCATATTTGTGCTTGTCTCGACATTTTCCTCATCTGTGTGGAGCCGTAACGGAAATATATTTGAGAAGGTGAGAGGGATTTTCCCGAGGACATTATACACACCCCTCCTTTTATTTTCTCTTATACTAACATCAGCTGATCTAGTCCATCATTAGTCGCAGTCACGCCTAGCCCTTCTAGGAGATTGGTTAGCATGCCTGCACTGTGTAGGGGCATTTCATGGAAGCGCACGCTTATTGATGAGGAACTCTGTGTGTGTGGAAGTGTGTGTGTATGTGTGTAAAGGAGGCAGGGAGGGAGTGAGAGCAAGTATGGATGCCTAAGAGTGAGACGAAAATGGGACCAAGCACATAGAACTACGGAACTGTATACATAATAGTGAGAGACAGTTGTGCATTGACAAGCAAAATCTTTTGACATCTTGTTTGAGATGTTGTAAAGTGGTGAAATAGAAGGATAGCAGGGGCTTCCAAATGAGGATTAGTCTAAAAATAGGTCTCCAAAATATTTAAACTATGCATTAAAATTGCATGCAAATAGAATTGAAATTAGAAAGGATTGATTTTGTGCTATTCAAAGTTGATTTGTTTTGGTGTGTATTTTTAGGGTAGCAGGCGAGACCGAGTCTGCATGCTCTGCAGATTTCCGAGTGGTTTCCAGGCAAATGTTATCATTGTTCTGAGTGCTGTCTGGTATTATGAATGTTTAACATATAACATTCATAGCATGCAACGTTTTAGGGGGAAATATTGAATGAATATAGAGGACAAATGCAGAAATCTCTGGAGTCTCAAGGTTGTGGTTGAATGCTGAGCTTAGAGGCTTTAATTTTTGGAAGGGTGTTGCTTTTGGTTTTTCATAGAACAGTAAAATATTTGTGTATCCTACAAACCGCCCCCTGAAGGGAATTTTGATATTGGACTGAATTTGTTGTGCTGTAAATGCCATATATTTACTGCATTCATCAGATCTGCTCAACCAAGCATTTTTTCATTCTGATTGCTTTGAGCTTTAGTTGCATGCTATGGAGGGTCAGACACATCTATCACTAAGTCGTTGGTTCCTCTTTGATATCTGATACATGAAATAACACATAGAGAAAAAGCGCAAGCTTTTAGATCGTTTCCTCTCCAGCTCTCATCTTTCCAGTCAAAGGTGCCAGCATCAGAGTTACATTCACGGCTGTGGATGCTGTCAGGGCTTGTCTCTGAGGTGTTCAGAGCGATCCTCCCGTGTGGGCAGGGCTCCTCCTTCTGAACAGCTGTCGTGCTTCAACGAATAAACTGAAGTCAGGTACATGCCCATCACTGATGGGCTTTATTTCCTCTAAGACAGGAAATGATTTAGTTCTGGAATTTAGAAAATTGTCCAAAAGGGTTTTTTTCTTCCTCTATGGAGTCCCGTACGTTTAGTTTAGTTTAGTTTCTTATATAGCACATTTCTACTGCCTTCAAAGCAGGCCAAAGTGCTGTACAATGCATTCAAGAAAACCAAACACATACAATAACAAACACAACATCTTAAAAAGAAAACAAACATTACGTCTCTCCTAGGGCTGGGTGATATAGCTAAAAAATGTATCAACAATATAATGTTTCATATCGTTCGGTATTGATAATTATTTATATTTTTATAACCTTTTTTAAAACAAAGAGCAATATAATTTTTAAATTAACCCAATTTATTGAGACAAACAACAAATATTTTTTGTTTTAACAGTCAAACACACAATAAAAATTAAACAAATATCTAATTTCTAATGTTTTAATATCGTATTGAAGTATCGAAGAAGGTGTACCGCCGATAAATATCAATACCGTTTTATCGCTCAGGCCTAGTCTCTCCTGAATCAGATTCAAACGCCATAATATAAAAATGCTTATTCAAAGCCGTTTTAAAAGCAAACACAGAGGGGGCGGTGCGAGTGGCTAGAGGTAGATTATTCCATAGCCGAGGACTGGCAATCGAAAAGGCCCGATCACCTTTTCGCTTAAGTCGGGACCGCTGTACCTGGAGCAATCGTTTGTCAGCAGATCTCAAGTTCTTAAAAGGTTTATGTAAAGTAACAAGATCTGACAAATACAAAGGTGCGAGACCGTTTCAAATTTTGAAAATTATTACTAAGGCCTTGAAATCGATCCAATATCTAACAGGTAACCAATGCAAGGATGCTAAAATTGGAGTTATTCTATCCCTCTTTCTCCTACCAGTCAATAGTCTGGCAGCAGCATTTTGAACAAGCTGTAATCAATTTACCAATGACTGATAAATTCCTAAATACACAACATTACAATAATCCAATCTAGATGATATAAAAGCATGGATGATTGTCTCCAAATTTCTAGATGAGAGCATTGGTTTAATCTTAGATATTAACCTTAAGTAGTAGAAACTAGTTTTCACCAGAGTATTAACTTGTTTTACAAAATTCAGCTCTGAATCAAAAAATACACCCAGATTTTTTGCATATGGTGAACATTTCTAGAAAGAGGCCCCAAATAACTAGAAATAAGGGGAGAAGAGCTAAGAGGACCAAAGACAACCATATCTGTTTTGCTCTCATTTAAATTGAGAAAATTCTTAGCCATTCAGGATTTCACATCCTCGAGACACTTGACAATTGTAGCACAGGACTTATCAACTGGGTGTAAAGGGACATACAATTGAGTATCCGTGAAATGCACAATGAGATATGGCCAAGAATAAAGAATGTTACTCTCGTTTAAATTGTTAAGTTGTCACCACAATTTGACTAAAATGAGGAAATAAATTAACAATGTGGCCATGATTTACCCAAAACAAAAGAACAAATTAATAAAAAAAATTCACCTCATGTCATGTGCAGGGATTAGTGCTGCACGATAAATCGAAATGAAATCGAAATCGCGATTAGATAGAAGCTGCAATTGCCATGCGAATCTTTCAGTGAAGCACGGTTCTGTGATCAGTAGTAAATCTCCATCCGAAGGCCAGAGGGCGCTCTCGTGCGGAAACTCCAAATACGCCCCGCAGAAGAAACCCAGGAAATCTCTATTGCGGTTGCTGAATAAACAGAAGATTTAAATGCTTTCATTGATTCAACATGACTAATAAACACACGACTACGGCAATATATGGTTTATCTGAGTTCTTATTAGGGATGTAACGATTCACTCAACTCACAATTCGATTCGATT